GTGGGATCCTAGAAAAAGATAAGGTCTCTCCCAAAAGATCGTAACAATACTTGCGTACATATATATTTATTTATCTATTTATTTATTTATATATTATAACAGGCTGTGGTAACATAGAATTACCAATGTATTATAAATTAAGATCTTGTTTTTAAAAATGGTGGGAAATGATTGTTATCATTAGGTGATAGTGTGGAAACCTCCCACCAGATAACGTGGTAAACACAATTTTCTTGTCAAAACGCCTGTGATATTTATGTACCAAAAGAATATTATTTATTAAGTAATTGTTACTGGTTTTAAAAAAATGCCTAAATATGTAAGAGGCTGTTAAGAAGAGGTTTTTATTTATTTATTATATATGTATATAGTTTGTTTGTATACATATCGTGGATTGTGCAATGTGTTTACGATTTGACTTTGTATCTGTAAGTAACAAAAAACTGATATTTTATAACTATTTATACAATTTATAACTGTCTAAATGATTATGTCCCTATGTCTCTGTAGACCCCCTGAAGAAGGCAATAAAACTTGTCGAAAGCTTGGGCGTTGATATAATAACATTGTATGTTTGAAGACCACAACCCGAATCCCAATCAACATCGTATGAAAGCTGGTTGATCGCACAACAAACATTAATCTAATATATCTTTCTGAAGGAACGTCTGGAATCCTACTCGTATTTAGCCCATGAACGTATTCAAACTTACAACTTTCAGTTAGTTTAACGTTAGTTTGGTGGGTTTCAGCGTACTCAATATTCTGATATAGATGGTTGACGATAATACATACAGTCATACTGATTATAACCTTTTATACCATATGTACTGCATTAAAATTAATAAAGCAATAACGTTAAATTGGGGAGCCACTGAATTATTAATATTATTTATGCCCGTGCGTCGCTCCTTTCACTGTATAAACGTAACCTAATGCTAACCTAGTTTGGTGGGTCTGTAGGATATAAGATATTCTGCCACAACCAACCCTCACATACTCAAAACGGACGCTAATAAATTCGTTCATTCAAGAGCACGAAACGCAGAAAAATCATAACTTTGTTTTTGGTGGATCTGTTGGGTACTATATATTACGCCACAACTCATCCCGGTTTATCTATTTTATTGATATCGGAAAACAAGATGATAATGAAGAACTGAAATTATCAAGCTTTCAGTTTAAAATTTCAAATAAGTTTCTAACATCAATGAAAAATTAAGATTTAATGATGATGTATCTTCTTTTTTCAATATGTTATGTATTAGAACACAAATTTTCAATAAATTGGGTGTTAATTGCTTAATAATTTCTTTGAACGTAGATGAGCTGTTAAAATGTTTTTAAGTCGAACGATATTCTTTATGGATAATTATTGTCACTATTGTCTTTCTTTTATCATAAAAAAATAATATAAGTGTTAACCATTTAAGTAGTGTAAACAAATTATTATCTAGAAATGCATATTTATAATTTATTACTGAGCTATAAAAAGTCAACTTGCTGAAGAAATAGACGATAACCATCACATCACGTACAAGAATGCCACCAATCCAATTTATTTGGCCACATAATTATGAATGACGACGCCAATTAATTAGATGCTGGGAAAAGTTTCAACTCGATTAACAATACTTTTGTTAAAATTATTATGAATCAGATTTCATTATTTATATGCAATAGCATCAGATGTTTGCAAACAGGCTTACTTTTCCGAAATTAATACTAAATACGTTTCACGTAATTGTATATTGGAAGAAGTTTGTTTTTTCTAGATAGTCATGAAACGACGTTAATGCATTTTCTAAGCAAGGTGGAAATCTTAAACAATTATGTCATGCCAGAAAAGGATAAAATTTTCAAAAATAAAAACAATGCTTGTTTCAAATTTTTATCCGCAAAACAGTAACTCAAGTGGGTAAAGAATGGAAAGGATGAAATCTTGTTTTGTAAGGGTAAGATTCAATTTCATAACAATGGAAATGAAAAGTTGAGCGGACGAGATGTTTTAGTTTATTGTAGTGTGAAAAAAAAATCTGGGTCATGGAACTGCTAATTCCATCCTAAGATGTGCGAAGTATACCGACATGGTTAAAAATTTGTTAAAAGATAATGTAGAACGATGAAACAGCAAAAACAAAGTACAAAATGAACGGTTTATGTTTTCTTGAACAAAAGAGCACGTAAAACGAAAATTTGAATTTAACTTTTCTTTTATTGTTGTTTAATTTAATAAACCACAAAGAGATTTTTGACCTAAGCATATATCCTGTAGCTTTATCACCTGAATGACTCAAGTAAAATTATCAAAAATCATATCTATTTCATAATTCAATATTATATTATATTTTATACTATATATACAATATTTTATATACTATAATTTATAATGGAATTGTTTAAGGAAATATGACGTAATATTATAGCAAAATTATTCATAAATCATTCAAACAAATAGTTATAATTCCCGTTATTTATTCATTTAAATTTATTACGGCAAGTTGGTAAAAATTATTCTTGCCGTATTCAAATAGGGTTTTTAAATAACGATAATAACTTATTTAAACAGTTATTCAGCCAAAAGAAGTTTCATAATTTACATTCAACAATTAATTTATGTACCCTGCAACTTTCAATCGTCTTGAAGTCATTTTGATCTCGATTAACAGGATATTAGCCATAATTTAAATACTTCTCCATTTTATTGGATCTATGAAAATTTCTCTTCGTTTTCATGAATTCAATTCATGTTAATGATCCTCATGCCGTTGTATACAGTCCATTGAACAGGCATGATTAATGTTTCCACGGTGCTATTTATTGTTCAATACTTGTCTCACTTCAATCGGATAGAAATGAAACTATTTCCAGGGCGGCTCCCAAACTCACATTGTTGGACTCAATCCTTTATAGAATTATCCTTTTTTTTACACCTTTTATGATGAATTTTTATAATTATGCAAGAATTTGTTATTTTTTAGGATCATCTGCATTCATAATTAAATAGGCCACATTTAATACTACTATTTTATTGTTGTTTAATATTAGAAAACATTTCCGACTATTTTGTTATACTTCTTTACCATTATAAAGACAAATTATAACAGTTTCAATAATATAAATATATTTAATTTTATATACCTGAATAAGATTTTTTGAGCTTGTTTGTAGTTCATTACTTTGCTAAGTATATAAGAAAAAATTCTAAATAATTCCTTGGTATTCGGATTTGTTTATTATAATACAAAAAATGAACCTGAAAGTATTGTGGATTTTAATTTCAAGATGATTGTGTCCCTGCAGAAAACTTTAAAATTGTCATGTAATAATCATAATCAGTTAGGTACGCTATAAAGTTACAAAAAGACTGTAGTTTTCATACCTGCTGCAAACTGCACTACTGGTATGACATTTATAACTTAAAGCAGATCAAGTGAGATATAATTTTTACATTTTACCCTGCGAACCACAAAAATAATAGGATGAAATATAACGGTCTGTGATTTAAAAATAGTACTATTCTGTTTTTGTCTTGAAAATTATGAATCATGGAAATGCTAAATATTAAACGATTAATTTAAAAAATACTTTTATTTCATGGAAAATTTTGTTTAACGAGGAAAGTCATTAAAAACAACAAATACTTAGTTATGTTTTTGACTAATTGGGTAATTATTTATTTTTCAATATGTACGTAGAGATTTCTTACTCGTTTGTTCGTACTATTAAAGAAGAATAAATAGCGAACATTAATCCTCCGTATTCATAACTTGCTTTATATATAGTCAAGTATTAAGTTAATTCTAAAGAATATGGAAGTTATACAAAGTGGAAATGGTCGCAAAACCCAAGCTTATGGAAGGATAGAAGAAAAACTTTCCGCTAGAAATTTTTCTAGCTTTGATTTATACAATTAAATTCATAAGACATTATAAGCAAAGCAAACGTTTATGTTTTAATAAAACTACGCTTAGAAAGAAAATGAGTGTTTACTTTTATTTAAATAGATCATTCATTTGAGAGTTTAGATTTTTGACATTTTTCAACAAAGGGCAAGAAAATTTTATCCGCATAAGCCTGGAAATTAAGTAATTCACAAGAAAAAAATATTGAACAATTAAAGAAAGTTCATGGTGTCTCTCGAAGAAAAGAAAACAGAACTATAACTTAGAAGGGTCCGAGAGTCGTAACATGAATATTGCCAGTTGACGACCCGATAGGAGGACGAGGAGGGTAGGAAATACGTGGTTAATAACCGCCGTCTTCCCCGGTATCCTTCGCACAACCACAATCCCAGCAATTACCAAATACCAGAACTGCTTATTAATAATTAACAGATTGAGTTTATACCTCATTTTCAATGTATGCGTGCGTACATAAGAGACATCAGATTCAAAAATCCACATCGTTTTCGTATAATAATTCCTATCATTTAGTACTTCCTTAGTTTTTATTGGTAAATGTATAAGTTGAGTACTTTTGTTTTAACAGAAGTTTGTTTCTAACAAATTTTATTTTTTATATGGAGATTCTATTATAAATATTAAAACAAGATTGGAAAATATTTATACAATTGACTCACTAATCTACTTATTATAAATATTTATAAATGTTCTAGTAATAAATTGATGATTTTGATTTTTTAAGCTTTCCTCTGCAAATTTTCATTCATTATGCGATTGGGGTTCTTTTCCACTGATAGTCAAAAGTAATTCAAATCATATTTTCTGAAAAAGGGTAGGACAGGATGAAAGGACTCCAGGGATATTTTTTCTGAATGATTGTTAATAAAAGAAATGATGATATAAAATTTTTGTAATTGATGAATTATGGTATGGCCTGAAGAAGTGCATGACAATGTACTAATATAGAGATTTAACGAAATGAAGTGCTATTTAGTATAAACGCTATTTTAACTACTAAAAAAAATACAGTACTTTTTACAATATTATAACTTCTCTGTATGTACTTTTAATTAATAAGTTTTGATTTTAAGGTACCTTTGTCAACTTCTTCTTCAGGCCAATGCGAGAAATTTGGATATTTTCGTTTATCCTCCCAGACTCCAAAGTTGGCAACTGTCAACAGAAATTTAGAAATATATTGCCCATTACATGTATCTAATAAATCTATAGCAATAAAGCTCTATAATCTTGGTATTGAGAGAGAAAATGTAAATTATTTCAGCCGGAGCCGTTTGGCTGACGTGTTTTTCGTCGTAAATAGCTGTGAACCCTCCCGTACCGACCATCTGTTGCTACTGACTGTAAAACTTAGAAAGCCAATAATACCTGAGAAGCGCAGACTCCGCATTGGCACCTACCGATTTCCAAGTGCCTCCCCCTCCAAACGTTGAAAAAGCCAAAACAAACTACAGAAAGCTTTTGGCTAATGGACTCTTCTGAAAGAATACTGCTGTTAAGATCTCATACATATATTCCGTTAAAATTAGACAGTTTAAAAACCCACAAGTGACAATTTTAAATACAGGATTGACTGGTTCCCGATTATTATTATCTGGTGGTAAGTTTTACTTAAAAAATTTATAGGGTGATTGTAACGTTTTAATCTTCACATTTTAAGGTGTAGTGATATATTTCTCATAAAAAATCTTTTATCTTTACTTGTTTATTAAATTGATAGTTTAATCATTAATTTTATATATGTAAATTTATATTAAAATTATTTATATTTATCATTAGTAGCAATATTTTCTTTTAATTATCCCACAAAAATTAATTAAAACTAAAATTGAATAAACTTGTCAAATATGCACGCATTAACATTGCATACGAGTTCCTAAAATAAAATGGGACAAACATTGCAAGCCGGTTGATCATTATTGATCATGTCTTGAATCCGGGTGCTTACTGGTGAGAATGTTCAGAAGCGTTTCGGCTTCTTGCCAGCTTTAGCGTGAGTATATTGGGGAGAGGGCACTGTTGTTGGTATGAAGACAAAACGGGTCAGGCCACAAACAACAAGCGAGACTAGGCAGACCCAATCTTTCGGTGACAACGAAGTGGAACACAGGCCATCAAATCAAACACAGGAAACAAATCTGAAAATATAGTAGTATTGTGGATTTTTGATCAATTGAAATAAAGATAAATGGTGCATTAACTAATCGAATGCAAAGATCTCTTTTGGGTTACACAAGTTGGTTATGAAGTTATTTTTTTGGGATGTTTAACGATTTTTTTTGTGCATGAAAAGTACAGTTACTTATTCGCGTACAATGTTCTTAGATGATTAAAAACATTCTAATGCTTACAATTATTTAAGGTTTTTAGTTGAGATAAAAAACGGCAATGGCACGATCGGGATTCGAACCCACGATCTTCGGCTAAATACGCCGCTGCTCTACCACTTGAGCTATCGTGACCTCGATCCATTCGGACATCAACTTCCTATCTCAACCCAACCTTTTGAATTTTCCCTCTTTTTTGCCATTTTTCAAATGTCTTGTAATCGGATTGGATTCTCTTAGGTTTTTACATTGGCTTTTTTATCTCAACTAAAAACCTTAATTAATTGTAATATATTAATTGGTCAAGCGGACCACGAAATTAGTGAATTTAATGATTTAAAATGAAGTATACTTCACTAAAGCTCTCCGTGGCCATTTCATTTGTCGACGAGAATCCAATCCGATTACACGACATAAAAAAAATACGTTTAGCATAAAAATAAAAAAGTAGGGCAACCCTGTTAAATATTTTAATGTTTTGTTACCCTCTAACATGCAGGCATTATGAAAGATTTGGGGTCTACAGATTAAACCGGTTGTATCACATTAGCCCGGGAACCTTGTATATTATATCAATAATATCAATTTGGTTTATGGTATGTTATATACCATTAATTATGGTTATGTTGCCAGTACCATTAAGGTGCACACCGTGATGTATTAAGATGTAAATGTTTTACATTCTTTACAAAACAATACCTTGGTTAAACATTTAAAAAGATTTTTTCAAAACATTGTAAGGAAATAGGTTTCAAAATAAACTCAAAGACTGGCTTTAGGTAAAAGTTCGTAACTATGCCACAAAAGATATAATTTTCCTCATTTCACCTATCACTGTAGTAATGTAATTTTGGTCGTTCCTTGACAATTTTCCTCGTCTTTCGTTCTTCAGAATCTGTTCTAATACTCGAAGCGATGCGTGCAGAAAACGGTGTGATTTTTCGGTAAACGAAATTATTTCAGGAATGGGTTCAAGGGTCTCGCAGGTGTAAAATGGTGCGTGGGAAGATGGACCACACATATGCTTCCAGACCTTCCCAAGGATAAGTTGAATCCTTGTTACTTTGATATGATTAAACGTCTTTTAGGCTTGTATTGTTGTTAATTTAGATGTCCTGCTCGTAATATTTCTGTATTTTTTTTAAAATAATCCTCGCTCCCTTTCTAAAATTACAATAAAAATTTGAATGGCTATTAATGACCTAAATACATTATATTTCGGTATAATATATTTATCTATTTTTAGATTTTTGTAAAAAAATACGGATTTCCTTATGTAATTTTTTTAAAACAAATGCGTGTTTTAAATCGTTGGAATTAGGTTGACAAGTAACAGGATATACTTTGATCGTTGGTAGTTAGAATGATTAACGTAATGAGGAGATCAAAGTTCTTTTTTGTTATTCCCTTTAGTTAGTTTAAGGTGATAATTCAAATGAAGACTTAATTGAATATTTGGAAGACACTGTACTCTTTAATTATGAAAAGGGACGATTTCTAATTGAATGAAATTACAAAGACAGAGGATGTAATTAATAGTACGAGCCAACAAGGCAAGGTCTTCTTAAACGGCTTGTTCTCCCCGGCTGTTTATCAGAAAATTGCTACTTAATTCAATATGCCGTGTATTAACCGGTACCATATGTTGTGCCGGATCAGACGCATAAAAAAAGGAGATAAAAAAAAAGGAGAAGGAAAAGTAATAGATCTTACACTTTGTTGTGTGGACGTACTATACGCGGCATACCATGGCCATATGGCGTTCAACACGTGAAATCAACAGTTAAATTAAAATCTGACTCCCAATTAAGAAGGGGTTGGGGAGGGTAGAGAGCGTAGGTGTGACTTATGTAATGGGCGACTTTATTTACAAATTTATGCTAATGCTGGGAGGCGCCGGCGGTCCATCCTCAGGAATTTTAAACACCCTACCCTTCAAACGGCCCATTTAGTGGCTATTCCTCATTTTCAGGGTATGTGTGCATATGTATTTATAATCATAATTTTATATCAACACAAAAACAAAACATGTGCTATAAAATCGGTAATTGTATAGAATAGAATAGAGTAGAAAAGTGTTTATTATTATAACATTCCAAAAGATCTTACAAAAACAAGTTAAATGCTAAATGTACAATAACTTAAAACACAAATAGCATGGGCAGTAGCCAGTCTGCTGAGTTGGCTCTGAATTATGTTTTACCAAGTTACATGTAAGTTATTATTAAAATATTAATCTCGATCCTTTTTTATCAGTGCTTTAAGCAGCGTTAAGCCTTAACAGACTGCTTCTCTGATTTGTTTTCGTAGAGAACGATACATTTTAAAAGAATCATTGCATATTAAAGGGGTCTTTACTACAAAGATCTATGTAATTCTTGAAGAACAGCAAACCGTTCAAAAGTTAAAATGTAAATGAGATTCTTTCCATCACAAATAAAGTTTCCAATCGAATATTTATTATCATCTATATTAGCATCTGTAAGATCTTCAAAATAAAAGAATTACTGTATAAATACGATAAATAAAGTCACTTATCTCAGGGCTAGAGAACACACTTGTCCTTTGCTGTTCTTCGCAACAGCTGGACGTCTAAATTTTGATTAGTTATCTTATATCCTTTTATATTTTTTTTTTAATTTTCATTTTCCTTTTAAGGGGTAAATATTGCACCTTTTACGTTAGGCAGTAAATAGAAAAAATATATTTGTTTTTTCATTGTTTTTCTTTTTAATAAACATATATGTATATGTTTTTTTAATAAACAATATATATATATATATATATATATATATATATATATCGTATATACATATATAAACATATATGTTCTTAATAAATGTCAATGTGTTCCTCTTCGAAAAGTTTTGATTTTTGTTTTAGACAGTTATATATGTTAAAATTATTGTCAAAAATGTCTATTATTGGTTGATAATAATAAGTAAGATGGTTAACATAAATGATACAGTTGGGTGTTCATTTTGGTTAACTACTTTAAAAGATGGTTCCCACAGTTCGTTGTTTTCACCATCCGGGTTTCAAGCATCAAACGCTATCATCATGGTGCAGGAGTTGCACGTCTCTCGACCTGAATTGTAAAAGTGAACTCGTCAATCGTTTTAAACATTTATTATAAATTAAGACTTTCTTGCTCGAAAATCAATCTACTAAAACGAACTGTACCGGTTTTACTCTTCCAAAGTAAATGCCATAAAACCTATTAAATATTGAATTACACAAAAAATATATAGTCAAAGAGATACGAAACGCTTTTAACACTATCTTGTTTACAATAGGCTTGCCTCGTTATTGTCCCCAGTAAATTGGGATAAATTCGATTTGTATGCGGTCAAAAGTCAGATTAATCAGTGATACTAAACAAAGCAAAATATCATGGATAAAAAATTAAAAACATGAGGTACGGTACACGTAGAAATGTCCCTTACGGTTATATACTTATAAATGTTATATACTTAACAAACTTTGTTCTAAGCAAAGAAGAAAACAATTTATTACATAAAGGCTTAAAATGTGTTCCAAAAACAGAAGCAGATACAACGAAACTACTTTCCCTTGGTTCATCGGTCGATTGTATTAAATGAAATGTAAATATAAAATATAAATGTGCTGAAGTAATTAACCACCTTGATAAATCTAAACGTCAAAAAATTAATTATCACACGTGCATTTGGTCTATTGATAAAAAGTAAAAAGTATCCACAAGGTTATTTTAAAAGCCGATAAAGGAAATAGTGTAGTTATCATTGAACAACAAAAATACGTTTCTAAAGTTTTAGAATGTCTAAACAATAACTATTGCAAAGAAAT